GATATTAAAAACCCAGTAAAAAAACCCATTCTTGTGAATTATAAATGAATAAAACCAAAATTAAAACACGAGAAAATCATTTCTCAACCACGCTTCACTGTACGCGTACGCTATGGCGTTTTCACAACAGACGTTTTGCCTGTGACGTCACAACTACCACTTTAAGACTCGGCGGACTGACACCCAGCTCAAGTAAAGACTTTTAAAAAGTCACTGTCGTCTTTTTTTTACTTAAGACCAGTGAATTAAAAATCAGTCGAATTATAAGCTTATTTATAGTAAGAGAACCACTAACTCTTATTTTAAGCTAATTTTCATTATTAAATAAAGTTTCTTGCTTAAAATAAGTTAAAAATTAAAGTAAGCTTACATTCGGTTTCAGATTTTGTTTTTACTGTGTTTATTTCATTTAAATAAAAACTTTATTTGAGCCAAAGAAAAATTTATTTATGACAAATAAAATTTTTATTTAAATCAAATAAATAAGTTAGTAGGCTCTGAGACAAATATATATATATATATATATACATTTATTTAACATACAAATATATTCTATTTGGTTCAAATAAATCATTTCTCTAGATGGAGAGTTTGTTTATAAATTAGACATTTTTTTTTTAATGAAAAAGCGTTTTGTTTAAATTGCACGTATAGAAATGTATTTTATTGAAACATTTGTGCGTTTCTAGAATCATATATACATATAGCCATGATAGACACACTACTGCTTGTGTTATTAGTCTCGTAAGACGTCCTCTAATCATTATATACAGAGAGAGGTCTGCAATTTGTCTGATTACACCGATTAAAAAGTTGCTGTTTACGCAATATATACGCTATTTTTTTTTTAAGTATATAAAAATTATATATGTACAAGAAATTATAAATAACTCTCGCGACGTTTTGTTATTTCTTCATTTACGCACACTATATAATGTGCCAATTTTATGTATATATTTTTTTATTCTAATATTATAAAAGAAATTTTTAATTTTTTTTTCTTCTTTTAACATTTACAATATTTTGTCGTAAAAGCTTTCTAAAATTTACAAAAAAAAAACGAAATATCTGATTATATTTTCGACTTGAAAGTCATTATGAAAGGTAATTTTCCAAAGAAAAAAAAAATGTTTTAATTCCACCAAGAAGAAATCGTATATATATATATATATATAAAAGAATAAAAACAAACAGACTTTCCAAGCGAGTCAGAGTGTATATAATTTCGTGCGGGAAGTTGCTTGTTGCTTTCGTAATGGAGGCCCACGAAGTACTACGATTCGAGACTTTGAAATCCGATTATGTAACATTTGGGATATCTGTTGATATCCAACAAAAACAAATCCTATGGTGCGAAAATAACAACAAATGACGCGGAAGTGAATTTTTCCATATATATATATACATAGGGTGATTTTTATATTCCGGACCCCCTAAAAAATTTTTTTATACACTTTTTTTTTGTTTAAAAAACGAAAATAAATCGAAATCAATTTTTTTAAAGTAACAAAAGAGAAAAATGAATTTTATTTACTAAACTCAGAAACTACAGACAGAGAAATGTTTTATTTGAACCAAATATAATATAATTGAATTGTTGCAAATATACACTCAGAGAAATATGGTATATATTTGTCTCCGAGCCTACTAACTCATTTTTATTTGTTGCAAATATATTTTATTTCATTGAAATAAAAAATTTATTTGAGGCAAAGAAAAATTTATTTATGACAAATAAAATTTTTATTTACGCCAAATAAATAAGTTATAGTAGGCTCTGAGACAAATATTTGTTTATTTAATTCAAATATATTTTATTTGATTCAAATAAATCATTTCTCTGGGTGTATTTTATTTCATTTCGTTTCACTGAAGAAAAATTTATTTATGACAAATAAAATTTTTATTTACAACAAATAAAAATAAGTTAGTAGGCTCTGAGACAAATATATATACGTTTATTTAATTCAAATATATTTTATTTAAATTCAAATAAATCATTTATTCGTGCGGGTTTAACTTTGTTTAGTCGCGCTAAAACAAATCTATATTGTTGCACTATAACAATATATATTTTGTTACTACAACAAACTTTTATAGTTGTTACAAATAAAATTTTACTTGTTGCAACAAATGTTTAGTTGTTACAAAAAAAATTTTATATTGTTATATCAACGAATATATATTGTTGTAGTATTTATGAAATTTTTACATCACACCCGCATTTTAGTTGACTGCAAAAGTTTATCTATAAGAAACCAGGTGGTTTTTATGGAGCATCTGTTTTGATTATGTAAATGGGTTTAAAATACCTACTTTTAATCAATTAAATGTATATATACATATTGTACATTGATTGTAATATTTTAAATTGTATATACACTTTATAAAATTTTAATTTCTGATGCACAAAAACTTTTAATGGTCGTATTAAGATATTAAGAATTTCATTTAACAAAATTTTATATAGAATTTATATACTTTTAGTCGAATTTTTAATTTTGTTCGAATTTATTATTTAATAGAAATTACATTTAATCGAATTTATTTATTACAGAATTATTATTATTATTATTATTATTATTATTATTATTATTATTATTATTATTTTACTATTATTAAAAGGAACGAAATTGTATTTACTCCAATAATTTCTGTATTGGAAATAAATACTTTTTAATTGCGACTCGCGATAAAAAATTATTATTTGATACAAATAAATAATTCTTTGAACCAAATAATTTAATAATTTGAATTAAAGAAATTGTACACTGAAAAAAAAATTTATTTGATTCAAATATAGTCGATTACTTATGACTATTATCAAATAAATATTTATTTGTATTAAATAATTATTATTTGAGTCAATTAATTTGTTTCAGATACAGAAATTATTGGTTCAAATACAATTTATTTAATTTAAATAAAAATTATTTTGTTCATTTAAATATTTTTTCGATAATAGTCAAATAATCGAGTATTTGAATGAAATAAATTTTTTTTTCAGAGTATTTAAATCAATAATTTCTGTAGTGAAAATAAATATCTATATATATTAATAAATTGACTCAAATAAAAATTATTATTTGGAGCAAATATACGCAATTTATTTTATACAAATAAAAGTTATTTTATACAAATAAAAGTTATTTTGTACAAATAAATATTTATTTAAATAATTTTTATTTAAATTAAATAAATTTTATTTGCTCCAATAATTTTTGTATTGAAAATAAAAATACCTTTATAGACTAAAAAAAATTATTATTTGATAAAAATAAAAATTGTTTGATGCAAATAAATATTTATTTTAATGAAATGAATTTTTTTTCAATTTTCCTTTTCGAGTAAATAAATATAATTTCTGACATATTTCGATGAAATAAAAAAAAAATTATGTAAAATGAAAATTTGTTTACATAACAAATTATTGTTATAGTACAATTCGGTTAAATGAAATTTTTTTCAATAATAATCCGAACAAATAAAAATTCGGCTAAATGGAAATTTATAAGGTAATTAAATTTCTTTGTAATGAAAATTTTAGCATAAAATAAAATAAAAATAAAATATATACTTTTATATCTAATAATACTTCTTATAACTAATAACCTAATAACTCATTTATTTGTTGCAATTATATTTTATTTCATTTCAACAAAAATTTATTTAAACTAAAGAGATATTTATTTATGACAAATAAAATTTACACCAAATAAATATATATAAGTTAGTAGGCGCTGAGACAAATATACGCGTTTATTTAATTCAAATATATTTTATTTTAAATAATTTATTTCTCTGGGTGTAGAAAGTATTAAAGATTTTTTTAATGAATATAAATATAATTTTAAAATTTAAGAAGATTTTGAAATTACAAAGTTCCCATTTTTTTTTTAAATTTATACATTTTTTTTCCTTTGATGGTGACACTGTATATACAAGGTTATGGCCGTTGTGAAGCGCGTTTATCTTGCATAACCCTGAAACATGTCCGTCATCAAAGTACATACGCGCGCATATGAAGTATGACCACATTATATGTACATATACTTTACATTTTAACTAACGAATGGGTCATTCGAGGTGAAATCAACGCGGAAAATTTCAATTTTTTTTTTCATATATACAATAACATTTTTATTATGTCGCAGTTTTCAGGCTCAAAAAGAAAATATACTGAAATTAATTCGCGCGCACAATTATATATATATATATTCTCTTCTTTTAATCACAATTCAATGGTTTTCCATTAAATAAATAAATATATACTATACTTGTCTAATTGGTATCGAATTAAAATTCTTTGAAAATTACAACTAATTGAGAATCAATTGCGGATATTGAATTAATCGGCATGTAGTGTGTGTTTTAATTACTAATTTCATTGAATTCAATATTATTATTATATATATATGTAAATGATAACACAAGTTTTAATTATAAATTTATTTAATAATAGTAAACGGCAAATACAAACAGTAAAACGAAAACCACTTTTCAAGAAAACTTTCAAAAATGTCCGTCCTGAATCGTTCTCTTGAGTACACTGCCACAGTCGCCGCTCATTTTTCCGAAATCGTCGTTTTTCCTCTCCCTCTTTTCTTCGGCCATGAGACCTTGTACCTGCAAACAAAGAAAAACCATCCCTTCCCCTTTATGGGCCTTTACCCTTGTATCTTTTATGGGACATTTCCCTTGTTTTCAGTTCGTCTCTTTTTTCTTGATTTTCTCTCAGGTAACATTTATTACCCTTGAAAGTCGTCCTCTTTGCAGAGTATCGTCTGGAGATTTTCCTCCGTATCGATATTTATTTAATACCGATTTTCAAACTATATCTTGCTGATTTCGACAATTTTATTCGTCTATTTTAACTTATACAAATTCCTAACCAAACTAAATTGAACTAAATTAACATTTTACTAAATTTACTAAAATAAACACAAATTTTCTTCTTAATTTTACCACCATTTCTTACAATCCTCCTCCTCGTACAAGGATTAAGATCCTTGTACCTCGTCTTTTTTACTTATTCTAATCAATCCAGTCGTAGGTCGTCGGAATTTCCCCCTTGCGGTTTTTACCATGACCACGCGTATTCGTCCATCGGGACCCGGGTATACGGCTTCAATTATTCCCCTGGGCCACGAACTTCTCGTTTCTTGCGGATGTGCAACAAGCACCACGTCCCCTACTTCTAGCGGGTCAGTTTCTTCGGTCCATTTTTGACGAGCGATCATTGTTGGAACATATTCCTTTAGCCATCTTTCCCAAAATTGGTCTGCAAGTCTCTGTGCCTTTAACCATTGCGATTTTGTGCATTCAGTGACTCCCCTAAATCTCGCACAGATTGCCTTCCCTGAAGATGAACCAATAAGGAAATGGTTCGGAGTTAGCGCTTCCTTTTCTTGTGGGTCTAAGGACACATGTGTCAGGGGTCGCGAATTGATGCAGTGTTCAACTTCAGCAAATAAGGTGCTTAACAATTCCTCCTTCGGAGCTTGTTCTGTCAAAATCGCTCGTAACGACACTTTTACTGATCTGACTAGTCGTTCCCATGCCCCTCCCATGTGTGGAGCTATGGGAGGTGTAAAGACCCATTTGATTTTGTTTTCAGCCGCGAATTGTAACTGTTGGTTCTTCTCCATTTCCGTAAACGCAGTTTTTATTTCCCGAGATGCCCCAACGAAGTTCGTTCCATTATCTGTAAAGATAACGCTTGGCTGTCCCCTTCGCGACATCATCCTACGTAAGGCCATTATAGCCGAATCTGCACTTAACGAGTGAACTATTTCTAAATGGATCCCTCTTGTTGAAAGGCAAGTGAACAAGGCTCCCCACCTCTTTTCCCTCCTCCTACCTACAGTGACATATAGAGGTCCAAAATAGTCTAATCCACAATTTGTGAAAGGTCGCTCATGATATGCTGTCCTAACCTCCGGTAACATTCCCATTCGAGGTGTTTTGGGTTTTTCACGCCTTAGTTTGCACAATTTGCATTTTGTACGGATGCTTTTCAACACGTTTCGAAGTCCTGTTACCCAAAATTTCTGCCTAATTTCGTTTATTACGGTCTGAATATTTCCGTGTTTCATTTCTATATGGTAATATTCTAATAACAAACGAGTGATAGGATGTTTTCCGTCTAAAATTATAGGATGACAATTCACATTTGTGCCCACTATACTGTCAATCCGTCCATTTACTATCATTAACCCATTGTCATCCAACTCGGGGGTAAGAGCACTTATTTTGCTAGTCACTTTAATAGTGCCTTTTCTTTGTAACGTCACAATTTCCTCAGAGAAACTCTCCTTTTGAGCTTGTTTCAAAAGTAAATTTTCCGCCCTGATGTAATATTCTGCAGTTTCCTCAGATTTGTACTTCTTAGTCCATATCTGTATTCCTGTTATTAAGCGAGCCGTACTTCCAAGCAATCTTTTCCAACTACAAAATTTGTTGTAATCTGGAAGACACGCTTTCTCACTGACCTTTAGGACTGATACAATCTTTCTTTTTTCTGATTCAACCTCCGGTGCTTGTGACAATTTTAAGCTTTTCTGTATTGGCCATGCATCCTCATTGAGAGTTAAAAAGGAAGGTCCATTAAACCATGCCTTATTTGTGTGGATGGGTATTCCAGTAAATCGGGTTGCATAATCTGCTGGGTTCATATCGGTTGGTACCCATTTCCACTCTAAAGGATTTGTCGACTCTGCAATTTCCCCTAATCTATGTGCTACAAACGTGTGAAAATCGCGCGGAGAGGATTTTATCCATGCTAAAACTGTCTGCGAGTCACTCCAAAATACGCGTTGGTAGATTGGTACCGTGTGTTCATCGCTTATAGTTTTCGCTAAACGGGTTCCTAATAATGTAGCCTGTAATTCGAGTCTGGGTATAGATAACGGTTTTAAAGGAGCAACTCGACTTTTACTCGCTATTATACTGGTTTCTACCGATCCATCCTCGAATTCCGTTCTCCAATAACCTACGCACGCGTATGCTTTCGTACTCGCGTCACAGAATATGTGGAGGTCGCGTTTTATTTCCCTTTTGGACTGAGACACGTAACATCTTGGAATATCGCAAAGGGAAACCTCACGCAATTCTCTAAACCATTTCTTCCATTTCTCGAATTCCGCCTGACCTATTTTTTCATCCCATTCGATTTTATTTGCCCACACATCTTGCATAATTATCTTTGATTGAATTAAAAGAGGTGCTATTAACCCCAATGGATCGTAAATTGACATTATAATCTTTAGAAAAATCCGTTTAGTCGGTATTTCGTTGTGATCTTTAATATTCTCGGATATACCCGATAAATTTACGTTAAATCGAAAAACATCCTTCTCTGTATCCCATCTTAAACCCAAAACTTTCTCGAGATTTTTATCTAATAGCGCGTTTTGTCCCAAATTAACTTCAACCCCGAAATGTTTATCTGCTTTATTTACCTCGATAGCTACTTGTTTGTTATTACTAATCCATGTGTGCATCTCAAACCCCCCTTTGGAATTTATATCCTCTATGTCCTTTACCGTGGTGATTGCTGCATCTGGAGTCTCATAACTATCTAAGAAGTCATCGACATAACTACTGTTTAGTATAGCCCAAACAGCTTCCGGCATACTTGATTTGAATTCTTCCGCGTTTTTATTTTTTACATATAGGGCACTGGTCGGGGATGCTTTAGATCCGAATATCAAGGAGCTCATAACATATTCGTCGGGTTCTCTTGATCTATCATTTTTTCTCCACAAGAATCTTTGTGCGTCACGGTCCTCTAAACGTAATTTAACGCGCAGAAACATGTCTCGTATATCCCCTTTTACCGCCACAGGATGTTGTCGGAACCTCATGAGTACCCCAATAAGATTTTTTAGCAAGGTCGGACCGGCCATCAAGAAGTCGTTTAATGAATACCCTTCATACCTTGCCGCCGCGTCAAAAATTATTCTTACCTTCGTTTCGGTCTTATTTGGAACCCCAAAATGAGGTATATACCAGGAGACGTTGTTTTTAGGCACATCATCTAATTTCTCTGCATATCCGCATTTTATAAATCTATCCATTTCCTGATAATACAGTGACGCGAATTTCAGGTTTTTATCTAATTTCCGTTCGAGACTTTGTAATCGCTTTAAGGCCATGTCTTTGCTCCCTATATTATTTGGCGGTTGCTTTTCCCATAACAAACCTGTTTCCCATAGACATGACGAAACACGGCGGGTAGTTTTTTCTAATATTTCATTTGCTTTGATATCCTGGAAATTTACTTTTCTTTTATTTTCGATTCCTAATGATTCTATTTGAAAATAATTTTTTACTAAATCGTGTAATTCGGTGTCTATTTTTTCAGATTTTTGTTTGTCCTTTTTTTTATTTGTATCTTTTTCTACCGTACAAACTGTGTATATCTCTGTGTGTTTTGATATCGAATTTATTCGCCCATGAACGACCCACCCGAGTGGTGTTTTTGAAGCAATCAATGAATTTACGTCTAGCATATTTATTTCGTTTACCCGCAACAATTCCCAGTTGTCTTGACCTATGAGTATTAAGGGGACCGCTTTGAAATAAGGTTGAATATCCAATTCTCGTAAATTTTTAGAATTAGCTATGGTATTTTCGCTAATAGTTTGGCTTGGTAAAGAAATATCAGATATCGCGTGTACGTTTTTCAAGACAAATTCTTTCCCTTTCCCTTTTATTTTGAAGGAAACTCTTTCAGTTGTTGTTCTTAAAAACCCTAATTTTCCTATTCCCTGAATTGTTAATTCTACCTGCGGTCCCTGCGCCCCTATCACATTTGCAAGTTTTTTGTCTATCATTGTAATCGTGGACCCATCGTCTAGTAAGGCATATGTTTTAAGGCTTTTAATTGGACCTATTATCGTCACTGGGATAATTTTTAAGTAACCTGATTCTTGGGCTTGTCATGATGTTGTTTGGACAGATTCTGTTGTTTCGGGCTTAGAACTATCTTTCTCTGACTCTATGTCACCGTTTCCTGATGATTTTCGCTTGCTATCGGTCTTTTTCATCCGGTGCAATAATCTATTGTGTTTTTTCCCGCATTTTTCCGTATCGCAATATTTCATTTTACACACCTTGCAAGAATGTCCTTTGTTTAAGCAATTAAAACATACTCTATTTCTTTCTACCCATTTCCATCTATCATCGATGGAAAGATTTTTGAAACCATAACATTTCGTAATTTTATGATTTTCTTTATTACAATAAGTGCATTTCTTAATTTTTTCTTTTTCTTTATTTTTATCTTCCCCCACTGATGATTCACAAGAGGTAGAAACTAAAACCGGATGTGGTCTCTGATTCCCTTTATGATTCGTTTTATTATTTTCTTTTATATTTGTCTGATTATCTAACGATTTAATGTGATTTGTGCCAGCCTTACTGGACATTTCTGCCTCGGAGTATAAATAATTCGACAAACTCACTAATTTCGGTTCCTCTAATCTATCTTCAGTCATGTAACGATTGTATCCGTATACCAACGTACTCGGTATTTTCGTAATAATTTCGCGTACTAAATCGGGATTATGAAGCTGTCCAATATGTTTTACAGCCTGTATCGCGGCAACGGCGTTACGGACCTTCGTTGCGAATGTCACGAGATCGATCTTCCCGCTTTGTATTTTCGGTAATTTTTTAATATCCTGGATAATCTTTTTAACTACAATTTCCGGATTTCCGAATCTAAGTTCTAACATTTTCATGACATTATTTGCATCATTATCTGTGATTATTAAAGCATCGACGGCCTCCCTCGCCTCCCCCTTTAGTGCCTGATGCAAACGCGCCATGTTTTCCTCGTTCGAATATTTCCCTAGGTTCGATGTCAAATCGAATGCTTGTTTAAACCGTAACCATTCCACTGGATCACCAGAAAACGATGGTAACTCTTTTCCGGCTGTCATTCGACTAACGAACAAACGTGAATCATTTGTGTTGCGCGTCGCTTCCCCTAAAATACCTAACGTCTCTATAAGTACACGATTAACATCGAAGCCCGTATTGTTAACCTCGTTTACACGTTCTCCACCCATCGCCCTCGAGGTCGACGGCTCCATTTGCTGATTTGAAACCACCTCATGTGGGTTGGGGTCAACAGAATTTGGAACCAATAGCACATCAGGACGAGGCGAGTTCACACCGTCTACAGCCGAACCGCTCCGAGCAACGTCCTCACGCCAGTTTTCGATGTATTTTCTACCCCTAGCGCCAAAAACGCGTGCGTCACCCGAGGACGCCAATGCCCGATTTTCGAGTTCCCTGTCCGACGACCTATGATTTAATGATCTAAAACTATTACGCCCTTCCGACCTATATTCGGAACTTAGGCCCTCGCCTCCTGCTGTCTGTGCGGCTAGACGCTCATCTATCAAGTCTAATTCTATCCTTTCTCTTTCGGCTAACATTGAACGTCTAACTTGAGCACGTTCTTCGGCAGCCCTCGCCATTAATAATGCATTTCTATTTGATGAACTTTCTGATAAATTTGATCTACTTACATATGAATGATGAGATCTGTTTCCACTAAATGAGTGAAGTCTACTTACTAGAGATGATCTTGAATCATTTGCACGTGACACCCTCGGTCCTCCCGCCTGTCTTACCCTGGATCGGCTTCTATGTGAAATCGTTGTTCCCGTCCTGTTTGATCCTGGAGAAGGCGGCTCCATTGTACGTGTTTCCGAACTTCCATCACCTTCCGATCTTGAGTCCGTTCTTCTACGTTTCGATGGGGTAGGCCCCTCGCTTCCATCCATCTTCTTTTTAGTATATCACACGCGTAATTTAAAGGGATCTAAATGTCCCCGGTTATTTCCCGGGTTTCGGCACCAATTTGTAAATGATAACACAAGTTTTAATTATAAATTTATTTAATAATAGTAAACGGCAAATACAAACAGTAAAACGAAAACCACTTTTCAAGAAAACTTTCAAAAATGTCCGTCCTGAATCGTTCTCTTGAGTACACTGCCACAGTCGCCGCTCATTTTTCCGAAATCGTCGTTTTTCCTCTCCCTCTTTTCTTCGGCCATGAGACCTTGTACCTGCAAACAAAGAAAAACCATCCCTTCCCCTTTATGGGCCTTTACCCTTGTATCTTTTATGGGACATTTCCCTTGTTTTCAGTTCGTCTCTTTTTTCTTGATTTTCTCTCAGGTAACATTTATTACCCTTGAAAGTCGTCCTCTTTGCAGAGTATCGTCTGGAGATTTTCCTCCGTATCGATATTTATTTAATACCGATTTTCAAACTATATCTTGCTGATTTCGACAATTTTATTCGTCTATTTTAACTTATACAAATTCCTAACCAAACTAAATTGAACTAAATTAACATTTTACTAAATTTACTAAAATAAACACAAATTTTCTTCTTAATTTTACCACCATTTCTTACAATATATATTGAGAATCTGTTATTAAAATCTAATCATCGTTGTGTAGAAATATAACCCGAGGGCAATATTTGAATCCAAGTTTATATCTGTATTTCGTTTGAGAACCCCGGTTATTGACCAGCGTGACAAGTGTCTCAGGCATCAGAGAGAGAAAGAGAGGTTGTCCTTGTCACCTATTCACCTTTGTTCACCTGTTTCGTTCATTTTGAAAATTTTTCATTTACACAGATATCGGACATTTTATAAAAAAAGAAAAAAACAATGTTTTGCATTTAAAAAATTCTTTTTCAATTAGGTAATAACTGTTTTTTAAAAAAAGAATTTAAAAAATAATTTTGTAAAAAATTGAGTCTTTTTTTGAAACTAAAATTGAGTCTCGATTATATACACTCAGAGAAATATGGTATATATTTGTCTCCGAGCCTACTAACTCATTTTTATTTGTTACAAACACAGAAAATTAAAAGGCATTAAAATAAGCTGCAACGCTTATTATTTTAATCCAAGTTTGCTTATTTTAATACCAAAATAGATTAAAATAAGCAAAATTAGATTAAAATAATAAGCGTTGCAGCTTATTTTAATGCCTTTTATTTGTTGCAAATATATTTTATTTCATTGAAATAAAAAATTTATTTGAGCCAAAGAAAAATTTATTTCTGACAAATAAAATTTTTATTTACGCCAAATAAATAAGTTAGTAGGCTCTGAGACAAATATTTGTTTATTTAATTCAAATATATTTTATTTGATTCAAATAAATCATTTCTCTGGGTGTATAACATCTAAATATTTACCGTAGTTTATGTATAATGAAAGTTTATTTTTGTGACAAAAAAGAAATTTAATAAATTAAAAAATTGAAATTATTATACTAAATGAATAAATAATATAATAATTATAATAATAATAATATAATAATTAATCAATGAGAACAATATTACACTGAAAAAAATATTTATTTGATTCACCCAGAGAAATGATTTATTTGAATCAAATAAAATATATTTGACTTAAATAAACGTATATTTGTCTCAGAGTCTACTAACTTATTTATTTGGCGTAAATAAAAATTTTATTTGTCAGAAATAAATTTTTCTTTGGCTCAAATAAATTTTTTATTTCAATGAAATGAAATATATTTGCAACAAATAAATGAGTTAGTAGGCTCGGAGACAAATATACCATTTCTCTGAGTGTTCAAATACACTCGATTACTTGACTATTATCAAATAAATATTTATTTATTTGTATCAAATAATTATTATTTGACACAATTAAATTCTATTTTGATTCAAATACAGAAATTATTGGTTCAAATACAATTTATTTAATTCAAATAAAAATTATTTGATATAAATAAATATTTATTTGATAATAGACAAGTAATCGAGTATTTGAATCAAATAAATTTTTTTTCAGATTCTTTGGTACAAATAAAAAAAGAAAAAATAATTATTATTTTATATATATTAATTAAATTAATTAATTTTTTTGTATTAAAAAAAAATTTATGTTAAAGAAACAAAAATTATGTTTCAGCTGACGATTTTCTGTTATAATTAATAATTTTCTCTCTCTCTCTCTCTAAAAAGTAAAATATATATTTTAATGAGAATTTTAAACGAAGAAAGTCGAATGAAAATGAGAAATTAAGTTTTGATGGAATAAATCAAAAGTTTCATCAACTATGATTCCAGAAAAGACGGTTCACCG